CTTCAAGAAAGACAAGGCCTCTGCCTATAGGTTTACGATCGCCTATCAGTTCCAGATTGATATACTTTGTGGCATCGGTTCCATTGCCGTGAATCTCGGTTTGCGCGACAAAGACTTGTGGCCATTGATTGTCGACATAATGCCATACCTGCATACATACCAACCCCTCCCACTCCAAGAGTCAGCTATTAACGCATTGAAAGAGATCTCTAAATTAGACGCCAATTCAGTGTTTTATTATTTGAAAATGACTTTCAGTTCCGATAGTGTTATATCACACGAAAACAAATCGTTTCCGGACCTAAGGTTTACGGGAAATAAACAAGAATTTTCTAAAAATGTTACAAAACTTTTAGACTATTTATATTGTATTTAAATGAACTTTGAGATTAGAATTTTATTTAATTTTAAAAGTGTTTATTAACTAATTGAACAGCAGATTTTGAACGATATAACTTATCATTATTTATATTTTTAATCAAAAATACTATGTTTACTAAATATTAGCAATAATAGTGATCTAATGGGTGTTAAGCGACTTATTGTACAAAACGACGGTTTGACTCAAAAACTCTAATTTCTTACAAATACATTAATCATTGATATATTTTAGAGATTTAAAAAAGTAAAACAATAATCTTAATTGATTAACCATCAAATGGTAATATTGATTGAATATAACGGTACAAACCTTTGTATTCCCATTGATTATGGAATATATTCACAAAAACTATGAATTCTGTAATAAATTGTGTCAAATAGATAGTCAATAGCTATATTTGATGCACACATTAATGTTAATATTTTTTGTACATTCATTAAAACTAATAAACTTTGTTTTTGTAATGTTTGTAATGGTTTTTAATTTATTGAATAATAAGTCAGAAGAATAGGTATAATAGGATAGGAGTGGCGATAACTCGGCCCAAGAAAGAGAGCCAAATGGGCAGTAAAGTGATGACAAAACCATAGGAATAGTCCTTCAGAGCGCCGATTCTCTCGATGTTCTTCTCACCGGTTCTGTCCATCCTTTGGTTGACTATATTTTGTGGCACTTTCTTGCGATCATAAGCCCAACCGATTTGCGCGAAAAAGTCGATGAAAAGTGTGGCTGAATTGAAGTTGTCTTTCCATCCCAACTCAGACGCCGAGTAGTCCTAAGATTAAGATTAAGATTAAGATTAAGATTAGTGTTAATCCAATCGTTATTTCACTAAACATGCGTCAATACTAACCCACGGAAAAGTGTGATGAAAGTTGTGATAACCTAATGGTAGCAGCATTTCAATTACTACGATCACTATACTGAGGTGTACTATTGTACATACCTTCCCCATGAGCCAGGTACTTTACGGCTCGATTCTCTCGGGGCTCTATATATTGATTGTAGGGTCGGGTGCCGTAGATATGTGCGGCTGAGTTGACGAGCCATGCGTTGTGTAACACAAATACATAGCGAAGAGTGACACACATGAAGAAGGAGTTCCACACGGATTCGTTCCACAAGAGGAATGGTATGTATGATGGTATGGCTCCCCATATGATGATGACTAGAGGTATGTAGAACTTGCGTTGGAAGCGAACGATAGGGTCGGCCCAGACGTCGCTCATATCAATGGTCGAGCCTTTGACGATGACTTCGGGATGTTTTCTACACATCAACCAACCCATGTGTGCGAAGAAGAAGCCTCTGTTGGAGTTGTGGGGGTCGGCGTCCGTCTCCGAGTACTTGTGATGAACCCTATGGTCGCGACACCACTCGTAGATGTCGTTCTGGAGGGCCATTGTCTCGAAAAATGCCAAAATTACCTGAAATTGCATTTAATCTTATAATAATCTTAACTTTTAGTTTAGTCAGAGGAATGCCTAAATTGGTATCATGGAAATACCCTCAACGGAAAGTTGGCTTTATATGTCCGGTGAGACCATAACCTGTGAGCGCCGGCCAATACCCCCATCGCAGACACAATGCCGAAGAAATACATCGCGAATATTGTCTGCCATTTAGAGCTCATTAATGTAATCCAAACGCCATAAAGAGCGCTCATATGCAACAAACTCATGAGGAATACATTCTTCCAAACGATCTCTAATTGAAATGTCGTTTTCTTTTTGTCCGATAAATCGTTTTCATGACTTATTTGATCCAAATTGAAACTCATTTTACAACTTCTTGTGAACACAAAACTATAAAATATAATAAAATATTCTTTTGTAACCTTAAAATTATATCAAATATTGAATTTTGTTTTTTAATAAAAACTTTTATAGCTATTAATATTGAACTTAAAAACTTTATCATTGGAAACTTTAATTAACTAATAAGTAATTTATTCACTTAATTAAGATATAACTTAATGTTTAGATTTTGAGTTATCACTGTACACTACCATATTATTAATATATAAAAATATTTCAGACTTACCATTTGAGGTAATCAATTGGCATAAGTTATAAAACAGTTTTAAATTTCGATGTTTATTAATTAAAACTTTCTATGCAAACTATATTTATAAAATTGAAAATATTACAATGATAATTATTAATACAGTGCTAATTTATGCACATCTATTTAAATATTTGTAATATAGGAAGTTAATTGAATGTTTGCTTAACTTTTACTTAATAAATAATTAATTCGTTGAAGCAATCATTCAAACCATTTCTCAGATTCTCCTCAAAAAACACTTAAAGCTAATTATTAGATGACAAATGAATTGAATGAATGAATGAATACTAAACACCGAAACATCAATGCTTTTCACAAACATAACACTAAAGTCGACAATCAAGTTGTCGGGTCTTATAATGTACTCAAAAGCAATAAATTATAAAAAGTTTTTTGTTTTAGAAGAATGTATTGCTATTGTGAAGGGAAAAGGACTGTTAGGAAACGCTTTCGTAAGGTTTTGTCATTTTTTTTCATAAGATTGCGGTTAAAGTACTCATTCAGTGACTGAGGGGTCAATCAATCCATTGCTTGCCTTGAATTAAGTCTTTAAAAATAGCAAAAATAAATTCCGCAATATTTCCATCCAATGCATGAATGGGATGTGCCATCAACTCAACCATTTTTTTGGCTACTAAATTAGCTTTAAGTTTACTGATTATAAAAATAATAACAATATAATTGGCTGCACCGTATGCCACCTCCAAGTGCTTTGTTGGGCTACTTATTAAACGTTTATTTTTGTGATGTCTAACTAAACACACTTAGAAATATATAAAAAAAAGTGCCGCTCTCTCTCTCTCTCTCTCTCTCTCTCTCTCGTATAAGGACTACACCTTTATTTTTACCTATATTTTGTAATAATTGATTGCAAACCCATATATAGCTGCATATAGTGTCAAAAAAGTTCAATTGTTCAGTAAATAGACGTCTAATAAATAATTGTTTTATATTTCCATTGTATGCCTAGAATTGGTGTCACTCCGGGCTAACTCTATATTACAATTGATTGAGAATAAAGTTTTTCCCCAAACTTTATATTTGCTATTAATTTCGGGAATAGGATTCAACACACAATTCCTAATAAATAATATTTAGATGTTATTATTAGTTTTTCAAAGTCAAAGAATTTTTAATTATTTATTTGTAGACAAAGTTTACTTAAATAAAAATATTATTTTACACTAAAATTAGACATCGAAGTAAACATATTTATAGCAAGTTTTTTCCCGACACACAATTTGATTCAAATATTATTTTTTAGACTTTATGTTTAGATTATCTTTGGTCATCTTTGACAGCACTTCATCCGGTTCTGTCTCGGATGTTGAAGTCCTCGTCACCCCATCCTTGGGGCTGTCTTTGTTTCTCTTCTCATCCAGGGATCTGTTGGTTACTGTAGTGGCGGTGGTGTTGTCCGGAGTCTTATCGACCACTACTTGAGTGTTTGACTTTTGCTGTTCCACCAGCTTTTCTTTGGCCAATGTATTGATTTTGCCGATCCTTACGGCCGACCCAATGGACGGACTTTTCTTAAGATCTCTCGATAGGAAGTAATTGTCTGCAGTTCTCTCTTTCCTCCGGTGCTCTACGGATCGACTCTTACGTAAGCAACACATTAACACACAAAACATGATCACTCCTACAGACACACCGATGCCCGCGATTATAGCAATGGTTTGTGTCTGCATTCTGTCTCTTGTATTATCTCTCAATTGAAATCAATTTATGGTTTGGATTGTGTGTTTCACTGGTTTTCAAGATCATACAATAAATCGTAAATTCTCACATTTTACATTTTTAAATAAGCGCGTTTTACCCTATTGTAGGCTTAATGGACTATTAACTTTTTATATGTGCAATAGATTTTAGTTAAAATTTTTAACATACAAATAAAAATACAGTTATTTAAGTTAGTTGTATTAAGTTGTATAACTTGTTATTTATTTGTAATCATAAACTTAAAATTTTCTTACATGTATTTAAACAAAATTACTTATTCAATAATTTAATTATACAATTCATTTAATTTAATATGAGAATTGAACTTGGTAATTATTAAAGGGCGACAAAACTATTCTTTCTGTGAACTAATTCATAGTCTTTTAAACTATCTCTTCGATGGTTTTCGCTTAAATTAGTAATAATTTTCACAATACTTATGCTATTATTGTTATTATTATAATTATCAAATGCATCAGCGGATCTATTGAATGCCTTATTAGCAGCACCCAGCTCATATAACTTTATATCATCGGGATCATCCTCTTCAAACATATCAGTTATACGGTTTGCATAATAGATGATCGGAATAACAAATAGCGTTCCGATCATTATTAGGCCGAATGCAGTCAAATGCAGATAATATCTGTTATACACAAGACATAAGTGTTAGAAAACAAGTCTAAAATTAGATAATAAACATGTTTTTTGTTTTCTCAGTTTGTTTGTCTACTAAATAGTATTTAGTAAATAAATATAAATATAAATAGTTCACACAAATATGAATGTAATACTTGTACCTAAACTTGTCGATGTCATAGACCCAACAGTTGCCGGTCTTTCCGCACGACTCCTTCCACACAATACACGCCATATCAGTGATCGTCCCGAACACCAATGGATACGGTATTAATGCTGACAGACATACACAACAAACTTATTGTTATTTGTCTTTTCTACTCTTAGAGTCAAGTATTTGACTTATTTATCAAATAGAGACTTATTATAAGTTTATAAATCTTAATAATTTTTGCTGACAGTGTATTTAAGTTGAAATAAATAATAGTTAATTTAATAAATAGTCAATATATATACCAAAAACAGCGAGAAAGCTGCCAATGATGCCCATGGCAAAATTCTTATCCCTTTGCTCAACACATCTGAAAAAATCATCAGAAACATTTATACATACTTGACTAAAATATAGATTTGATATAAAGTTTATATTATAAACCTCAGGGTAATCAAAGTGTCACCAATTTTAGAAGTGGACATAATAATGCCTGCTACTCCCATAATAGCTATATATAATGGAAATTGATTGCAATCACTGTCACAATAACCGGTGGTCACCATCGAATCACTACCACCGATGCATTCACAATCAGAGTACCCCTAATTATATTGTAATTTGAAATTAAATAAACTTATTTATAATTACTTAGATTAAAAAAGTAGTAAAAACTAACAGATTTGTGTGATTCGTATTGTTTACATCCGGCGAAACAAGGATTAAAATAATTATTGACTCTGTCGTCGGCACAAACCGGTTGAAAGAAACTTTGAGTACAACCGCACCCGACATTGCAATCGGCGGTTAAGTCTAAACTAAAATCATATTATTATTTCATTGATGTTAGAGTGCATCGAAATGTGATTTATTTAAACTATATCTTACTTTGAGTTAATTAAATCTGTTTGTGGGAACACTGGATGAGGACATCTATTAAACAGAAAATATTTGCATGAAATTAAAATATAATAAAAATAATTATTAAATAATTCAATATAAATATTAATAAATTCATACTTAATAAACATGACTGAAAGTATGGCAACATTAGTGAACATTTCAATAGCAAATATATAGACTACAATTTTCCTAACCGATGGTCGAAATGTAGACAAAAATATCCCTCCCTGTAAGCAGAAGTAAACAAAAAATATTCTTGATCAATTTGATTAAGGAGTAATATCTTACAGCCATTATGCCGATAGCCATGGTGGGAATACTGACTATACCGGTCCACATATTGGCCTCGGAGGCAGACTTTCTAAATTGTGCCTCGATATATTTTGGCTTAAATAGATAGTAACCCAGATAACCCAATAGTCGCAAGCACATGCCAAACACATTGAACATGAAAATAGGATTTTTGAGAATCCTTTTCAATGATTTACACATCGAGTCGTTTTCAGTTGGTTTAGTCGCTGGACTCGAGTCCGACCCCATTTGCGACGGGAATATCATCATTGGTATCGAGAATAATATGAGGAATATGCCGATCACCACGAACCCTATCCACCAGGCACCCACCCATTGAGGGTCAGTAGGGGATATATCAGGGCTATCTAGAGTTCAATACAAATATACTGTATATTAATCTCAATGTACTGTAAACACACGAATAAATAAAATGATTTGACAAATGCCTCACAAAACGGATTCTCGTAATACTTTAAACACAGGGAGGAGAGTAAGAAACCCAACGACGGACCCAACAGTCTTAATGAAGCCGTAAAACTCAGATATAGAGGAGAGCTCTTCTTACTGGTGTTGTCGTCAATATATGGCAAACCAATCGTATAGAAAGCTATTATAATTGCTATTAAAGCGAGACCTTACTTCAAATATATCGACATAACTAACCGGTATATCCCAATCCGTTTACAAAACTCGCCGCAAATAGTATGATAACCGCCGGCCATTTAGTAACTGATCTTTCATTTGCGGCACAAATGGCTGTTATATTACGGGTTTTATCGCATAAATCATATGTACTATCCGTAAGGGAAGCTAGAGTTAAAATTTATCCAGATTATTTTAAATGGATATACAGTATAATTTTAGGAACTTCTTACTTGAGCTGACATTTCTATCAATGCGGTCGCTGTTGAGATTATAATTGGCCCCGTATATGAAAAATGGTGCTAAAAATGACAATTCATTAGTTTTTAAGACAAACTTTTTTTTGTGTTCAAAGGGTCAGACCGGCGGACATAAAACAGGCCAACGCGACGATCATCTCTCCGATCGCCATAAGCATCGGTCGGTTGTACTTTGTGGCCAAATAGCCTATGAATGGGTTGATAATCATTTGGCTGATGTTGTCGGCGATGAGTATAAGTCCCGATATTTTGCTCTCAAAGCTGTACTTCTTCTCGAGAGTGGTCATCGACCCAATCAGATACGTGAAGCTCGCGCCTTGAAATATGGCCACCAATGAGAAGTTGATGAGAAACACCCGGGGAGTCGCAAACTTCTGCAGCCATTCCGGTCGCCAACTACCGATCCCACAGCTCAGCCCTTCCCTATCGTCGCAATCGTCGATCTTCGCACTCATATCACTCTTTTTCATCAATTTTACAGTTATTTCCGACAAAAATTAGTTTATTTTGGCTATTGTTTCGCTCATTTAAAAAAAGTCTATGATTTTATTGTTAACTCAAATGACAATTAACTCCTCGTTTGGATCAAATGCGAGTACAGATTCATAAGTTGTATGCTTATAATGACTGTCCTTGGAGCCTTCACTTTTTAAACAACTATTCATTTGTATAGTAATGAAGGTGATTTACTATTCAAATGATTAATTATTTATTGTCATTATTAAAATTATTGCATTCCGTACCATTATTTATTCAGGCTCTATTATAGATTTAATTCACAAACTTTTGTATTTGAGTGCAGATATTGATTTAAATATATATCTTTTAGTACAACCCTTTCATAGATATTAAATTTAGTATTCTAATAATTTGAATGCTTTTAAAAGTCTTTTATTTGCATGAATTACTTAATAAACTAAAATCAATTTTATTTTTAATATTTGTTAGTCTATAACTATTACCGGAAATTTATCATTTAAGACTTCTCTTAATATGATTTTTAGTATATTATACTGAATAAATACTTCTTTATAATATTGTATTTTATTAAATTTTTTGCGTCAATTCTTGTCAATATTTTCAAACAATTCTCGAAAGAAATATTAGCCTACAAATATTAGCCTAGAAATTTTATTACAACATTAATCTATTGATAGAAATAATATTATGTTATATTTTATATTATATTATAAAATAACAAACATCTTAAACATTATACAGAAACATTGTAAGTTGTAATATAAAGTTTACGTTCATTATTGAGAACTAAATATTCGCTACAATTGCTAAATAAATCAAATATTAATAATAATTAATTAACAAAATCGTTCACTAGCAACTAATTAAATTTATTGTGTTAATTTCAACCCACTTATTATGCTTATAAGCTAAAAATTATAATCAATTATCAGTAAAAATGTTTATTAAATTAAATAATATAATATCCAAAAGTTTGAATTTTTGTCTTCGCTAACAAACTATATAAAATATTTTCTAGATAATTAAATTTTATATGTGTACTATACTGTAATACACATATTATAAACACAGAGTAACGATAATATAAAACATATTGGGAAAAATTTGCGACGAATATTTTGCAGCAAATTAATTTAAGTATTAAATATTAATATAATAATATCATTCATATAAACATGCAGGAACATAGAAACAATAAAATTAGTCTTTTTATTATCTTAATTATTGGTGTGCTTTTCATTTGTTTATTAGTTTCCTTTTATTGGTTTACATTAGACAAGGAGTGAGTTTAACAATATTTCTGTTAAAATACTTTACTAATGTATCATAAATTCAAAACAGGACTAAATCCACTTATAAACCACTCCAAATTCATATAGCAATTGGAGGTTTGTATACCAGTACATACAACTAGTTACAAGAATTACTAAATTTTATTGTTATATAGACAACATTGGTGAAACTGTGATCGTATGGAGTACTCGCTCGGACCCCAATGAATCAGTAGTCAAATTTGGCTTTAATTGCAGTCATATCTACAGGACAGCCACCGGAGAGAGAAAACTATTAGACCATGATGGAGTCGTTCAATACATCCATGTTGTGACTCTTAAGCATCTGGATCCTCAAACAAAATACTGTAATCCATTTACTAATTTATAAGTTTCCGATCATTTAATACAAAATTATTGAATATTTTTAGGCTATTATGTGGGTTCTCACAAGTATTGGTCTAAACCATACGAATTCTATAGTTTTCCAAGGGATCAGTACTGGTCACCGAGTGTGGCACTGGTCGGGGATATGGGTGTGGAAAATGGACGCGCTATTAAAAGTTTGATTGACAACTCAGCCAAAGGAAAATTTGATGTCATTATTCATATTGGTATTTATTTTGATAATATTTAATTTTAAAAAATAACTTATAACTATGTTAACATTTTAGGTGACATCGCGTATAATTTATATGCTGTAAGAATGTTAGTATTTTAATTATGCAAAAAGCTTTAACACTAAATTGTTTGTGAATAGTATAATGGCATAATTGGAGACTCATTTATGAATGCTATCCAACCGTTTGCTGGTATGAAATAGATTACAATTATAGTATATTTAACTCATATTAATAATTATTTAATATGAAAATAAATAGCTACCGTTCCCTATATGGTTATCCCAGGGAATCATGAATACCAATGTTACGATGACCGGTGTCCTGGGTAATAATTATTTGCATTAAAATTGAATTGAAAAATAGATAGGAATTTAACATTAATGTAACATTTAAGTGATTTCGGGACGAGTTATGAGACCAGGTTCAAAATGCCCAAAACCAATGATAACATGTATTACACGTTCACTTTGGGTCCGGCGCTCTTCATCGGCATTAATACCGAAGTTTACTTCGAGGAAGAAATGAGTGATTTAGAGGTGTCTCAGAAACAGATCAAATGGTTGAGACAGACGTTGCGTGAGGCCAATAAGCCTGAGAACAGGGCCAGACATCCCTGGATTATTCTCTATGGACACCGACCCCTCTATTGCACAGCAAGTGCTGAATGTAGTGATGGTCTTGCACTTGATGTGAAGGTAACTTATTATATATATAATAATTAATTAATTTAATTAATTACTTTTATTGTAATCAAATTGATTAAAAACAGGGGAACGGCACCATCGATGGCAGTCTTTTCGATATCGATGATATACTTTATGATTACGGAGTGGACTTAGCCTTCTGGGGTCACCAACACTATTATGAACGCATGTTTCCCGTCTATAATCAAACGGTTTATACAATTGAACAGTAATTCCTACCTAAGAATTAACTAGAAATTTAAAATTTGGTTTCACTTCAGGCTTATGTGAATTCAATGTACGAAAATGCTTTTGTCAATCCGAGAGCAACCGTTCATATAGTATCGGGAACTGGAGTAAGTGTTTTGGATTTTTAAATTTTTATAACTTTAATTACTTTAGTTACCAAACAAAATGCTAATTGTTTTTAAAGGGAATGCATTCGGGAACTGAAGAATTCAGTAAAACACCCGCCCTTTGGACAGCTTCTCGGTCTTCAGCCTATGGTTACACCCGATTCACGGTTTTAAATGACACTCACCTATACTTAGAGCAGATCGATGTCGACAGGGTTTGCAAACATTTATTTTATTCATTATATTTTACATTAAATTTATGCCACAATTACAGAAAGATTTGGTGATTGACTCCATTTGGATGGTTCAGTCAAACCACATGCCATTCCCCATGAAAAACAAGGAACTCAAGTTAAAGTGACTTAAAACTACTTTTTTATTTAGAAAGGATAAAAACATCGACTACTTATACAAAATATTTTCTCCAAATTTCCGTCAATTACTTGTTTAGTGAATAAAATGGGTTGATCTCTGTC